ACTTCCGGTTGACTTGCTCCGCGTAAGACTGGGAACGGCTTGGTCTGAAAAGTAAAAATGGCGGTTTGCAAGGATGAACGTAAAGTTGTAATGAGTTCATCGCCATCAAAGACAGTTCAGACGGTTAACCAAAGAGCTTTAATTGGAAAGCTTAAACGGTTTGGTGGTGGAATGCGCCGTCTCTTCGAGCTGGCTTTACTGCCACCGGATTCTAGTCAAAGCCTCTTTGGAGCGTTTACTAGTGAACCTCTCGATCGCCGTGAAATCCAAACTTATTGTGAATGGAAGGTACAAACTTGCTTTAGGAACTTAAACAGAGGTCAGAGAAAGCGAACCAAACGAAGAATTATATACATTTTACCAATAGGGCCCTTTCCGGAAGCATTATTGGAACCATTTCCAGAAATGGACATGACTTTGTTTGAGTTGATAGCCAACTTCGTGGGAATATTTTTCCAAGGGATGAAAGCAAAGTTAGTGGACAAGGTAAATTTCATCGACATAAACTGCAGACAAAGGATTCACGCTGTCACTGGAAAACTGCAACTGTTGGTATCAGGTTAGCAAGTTAGTCTTGTTTTCTTTTATGATACATTAAATGATTATATTTTGAACTGAAGAATAAAGTGGAACCTCTCCTTTAGGGCACCTCTGTTCAAGGGACACCTCCTTTCAGGGGACACAAAATTTGGAAAAATCTTCCCGGAAAAATCCTCACGTAATCTTTGTATCTGTTGCCTCTGTTGAAGGGACACCTCTATTCAGGGGAAATGGACAGTTTTTCTGGGCCACAAAACCCAGGTTTAACCTCCACTTAGGGGACACCTTAGAACAGTTAACTCTCACCTTGCCGACACCCTGCTACAATGGACATCCCGATAATATGGACAACAGCTAAATCCCAGGCCAAAAATAAATTACAGAAGTTTGTCTGAAATAAATGCCCGCTATTAAGGACTCTGGCTAATGAGGAGACTAACTCAAGGTCCCTGCAGTGTCTGATATATAGGGAGCTTTCACAACATATAAAATCTCACTTAAATTGATGTACTACACTTATGGGAATGTAACACCCAATATCGTAGACTAAAGTTAATCAAGATTTTTGATGCATTATCTTGCTGCTTGAAATAGTGACTGCAACAGATTCCGAGGCAGAATAAAAAAAAAATTACCATAACAAACATCAACCCAACCTCTGCAGTTCTCATATACTTCAATTTTCTGTTTTCACTCTGTCACGCCCATTAAAAATGAAAATGCAAACCATTAAATCGAGGAGGTCCAGAATCTGGGAAATGAAAGAAGATGAATATACAAAAAGCCTTGCCAAGAATCAGGTCTGTGTGATACTTCATATGCTAGGTATTTGGAAAAGTGTTTTACCCAAATTTATAAAGCTTTGTATGGAGACACCATGTTGGTGTCCCTTTGGCGTACGAAATATGTCTGCCGCAGCGTGCAAAGAAAGTCATGTTCGATAGCCAGGGGCTAGTGGATTTTGGTTTCGGGCTAGTGAATTCTGTTCTTAACTTGCCCGATGGGCAAGTGAATTTTTTTGGGAAATTCAAATTACAGACGGATTGTAATCAATCCTGCTAATCAAAAAGGGTTTTGGGGCTAGTTGAAATGACTCATGGGCTAGTACATGCTAGCTACAGCTTGCCTGAATGGCAGGCTGTAAAACTGACTTTCTTTGCACCCTGCTGCTGGAAACCAGCAAAAACATCTGTCTTTGAATTTTTGTACAAACGCGTGAATTCATTTCTTGAGGAACTCATAAAGGTTAAAGTAATATTTATTCTGAGACGTGTTTAGATACCAAAATCTCCAAAACTGGGTAATGTTTTTAACCCACATAAGAGCTTTCCTGCTGCCATCTGAATGCCACATCATGCAAAAACATGGAAATTTGGGTGTCCTAACACACATTAGTGTACTAATACTTTATTATTCTTTGACAAACTTTCAGATGTGCTATATTACTTGAAGACCTGTCTTCCTAGTGATGGTTTCTGTGTTGTTGGTCTTACCTGGGTTGACTTGTATCCAAGTGAAGAATGGAACTTTGTTCTTGGTGAATCATCCTGTTTAGATGGTTGTGCTGTAATGAGTTTTGGACATTTTGAGCCACAATCATATAGCATTAACAAGCTAAATGAAGTTCAACTTTACAGAAAAGATTTGACTTTGCTGTCCGATGGCACTGATTTTGATGATCAAAGTGGATCTGTATACATTGAGAGTGATCATAACATCAGTGCTAACTTAAGAGACTTTGCAGGCATCAAATGTGTTGATAAGCAAAAAATCTGGAGGCTTCTTCGAGTAAGTATATTCTGTAGTCCCCGTTAGTTGGTGGTAGATTGCAACATATGATTGAAAAATTGTTGATTTATGTATTTATAAGAAATAATATATAATGCAGCAATTTGAAGAGAAAGTTTGCAAAATTTATTTACAGTACTGTTTGCTTTTGTTTAAAAATAGAGGTTATTATTAATTTTTTGACGTTAATTTTCTAGACACAAAATTAACTCAAACTGAAAACCATTTTTTTTAACAAATTGTTTTAACTGTGCCTCACATGGTGGACATTAAATTGCTATTCATATTTTAATAAATACTTTTCTGCAAAGAATGATTCCCCGCTGCAGGGGCACCCCTTAGTGACTTTTCATTAAACATTAGTTTTCTAGTTTCTCATTTGAAATTACGCTGTGTTATCTTATGAAACAACTAATATAGAGAATTTGAAATGTGGTCCAGAGACACTTACATGTAGGGCCTTCTTCTGCACCCTTTATTATTTATATCAGTTGTCTCCTGCGCAGATGCTCCCACTGGGTATCCCATTGAAAATACAGTGAAACCTCTATTAATCGGACCCCCAATTATGTGGACACCCTCTATTAAGCAGACACTAAGCTGAGTCCGGAAATTAAGCTCTTATATTTCCCTTTATAATGAACCCCTATTCAGCAGACACCTCTATTAAGTGGATGCGAACACTAAAATGAAACGTATTTGGCTAATTTCTATTGTTAAAAACCTCTATTAAGCGGACACTGGACTGAATTGTGCCTGAGCTATAAGACATGAGACATGAGACTTTAATAAAGTTCATTGTTATTATTATATAATGTCAGCAATATTGGATTGCATCCTTGAAATACGTACTGTAATCTATTAATGGTGATAAATCAGTACATTTAGCAACAGCTGTCAATAAACTGTAGATTAGACTGATATCAGGCCATATAAGTTTTATCCACGATCAAAGTTCACTTAAAAGTCTTGCACAAGGTACAGCACAGCTTCCTGAGCTTCCTTAACAACATGGAACTTTATCACTGTACAGAGTAACCATTGAGTGTTAACAAAACAATAACAAACATTGTGCAATTTTTACAAACCTCTGTGAAGTGAACACCCTCTATTAAGCAGACACTTCGGAAGGTCCCGAAGGTGTCTGCGTAATAGAGGTTTCAGTGTAGTAATAATGGAAAAATTAAGTGCACAGGCCCCACGTGCTTAATGTCTCCTTCTCCCCAGCCTTCCTACAACACAAAGAGGCCTCTGCAGAGGAGAGAGATTTATATCTGCAATTTTGGACGATTTAGAAATAAATTAAAAAGAACTTCCCCCCCCCTCCCCCGTCTTCACCCAATCACCCTACATCAAGGAAGATGTCAGGTACTGAGCCTTGAGGCCGCATGGCCTCTAATCTTATCTTGTGGTGTCCTTTTGCACCTATGGTCTTAAGACACATAATGGTCTCATAATCCATACAAAATCCCTTATTCCTTAAAAATGTGCATAATCTGCACCAAACAACAATTTTGCAATGCTCTTTTAAGGCTATTTAGCTTTGGAAATAATACAGTGCCTCTGTAATGTTCTATTAAATTGTGATGTGAATCCTGCAAAGGTTAATGAAAGAGAACTGGTATAATTTGCTGCATAAGAGACCTCCCAAAAATTCTGCATTATTTCCTAGCATTGTTTGCTCACTATTAAAAGATCTGTTTGCAGGGGTTGGAGTCAGGGTGGATTTGATTCTCCAGTTATTTACAGCTCCATTTTTGTTGTTGACCATTCCCTCCTCTCTGGTCAAAGTGAGGATAATAATGATGATCCGCATTTGATTATGACATCATTTCTTTCATTTTCAGGTGGCAAGTCATGAAATCTGCCATCTTTTTGGAATGTCTCACTGTGCCTATTTTGCCTGTGCCATGAATGAAAGTAAGTCCATCCTTCAAGCAGAAAATCAACCTTTGTTTCTTTGTCCTGTTTGCTTGCGTAAACTTCAAAAAGCCCTAGGCTTTGATGTTGTGGAGAGGTACAAAGATCTTTGCAGCTTTTTGAACTCTTTCATCTCTCTAAATGACTGTGGCAAGGAGACTTTAGATGGGAAATTTATGTCTGCCATTTATTGGCTTAACACCATGTTGATGTTTATTGAAGATAAAAGGTGACTAAAAAAAAGAGATTTCAAAACTGAATCATTTTTATGCAGGTCAGTTTATCTTTTGGGATTTATAAAAATAAGGAAGGATTTAATAAGGCGCCTCAAAGCCTGAAAGTTTGCAGAACCAGACTCCTGTAAACGTTTCCTAAAAAATTTATAGCTTGTATAGCAAGCAATTCCTTGCGAGTTTGCTGAGAATAACAGAATTACTTGAGCAGAATTAACTGCTACAGAATGATTTGTTTCCAAGCTTTGTCTTATCATATTTATGAGAAAAGATAAATCATGATTTAAAATTAATTTTCACTCCCAGTGCCTGAAACAAAATCTTTTTGCTCTCGATCCAAATTTCTTTTAATCTTGTAGTTCTGTTCCATTCCAATTTTCTCCTTGAATGCATCTTAATTATTCTTAATTAATTTTATCTTGGATCAATCACAATGTAGTTGACATGTAAATAAAAAATAAACATCCTGTTAAAAGATATCAAAGAATGAAATCTGTCATCAACGAAGCCTACGCATGCGTTTGTCTTTATTTACACAAGATTTCGTGGGCACAATCGGACAGAAAGCATGTTTTCAATAGTGTCGGTTATTTGGCAAAATAGAGCGCTCTTCAAAAATCAAGATTTACGTCGTTAATCTTCTGGTTTTTGTGGCGGAACAGAGCCGATCGCACGACCGACGGATAGATTCAAGCATGAAACGAACGCAATTTCACATCTGCAGTGAAATCAACCTTCCACATCATGAACACAGATTTATAATTTTAGGATGACCTTTGGCGGAAAGCGAGTTGTTTAATGCAACGATGGGCGATTTTCAAGTATGGGTCGACGGAGTGGAGCGTGTTGTTCGAGGCGCTAATGAGGAAACTACTTGTGAAAATATCTTGCTTGCTCTTGCCAGCGCCACAGGAAAGCTAGGAAGATTTGCTTTGGTGGAAAAATGGCGGGATCTAGAGAGGATTTTACCGCGAGAAGCGAAACCTCTCAAATGCCTTCAAATGTGGGGAAAACAAGCCAGTGAAGTTAAGTTTGTTTTGAAATTAATGAAAGACAAATCAACGGGTATTTTAGGCGAAGTGGCTGTTAAACAACTCGGTGAAAGTGAAGAAGAAAATTTATTCCACAAAGATGAGAACCTCCGCGGCAATTTCGATGGGAAGTATTTGGAAAGAGTTGTTGCACATCAGACGAACAAACTGAAACGTCTTGCACGCGACTTGGAGATTTTACAATTGAGAATAGACTGTTCTGTTGAAGACGAGGAAAATTACTTGTATTTCACCGAAGAGGAAATAACTGACGACCGAATAACTAAGCTCGGACAGGTCTTGAAATTGCAAGCTAAAGAGTTAGAGATACAGGAAACATGTGCCTGTGAACTCGCAGGGGAACGTACGCGACAAGAAAAACTTCAGTTCGAACTTAAAGAGCATCGAAGTAAACTTAAAAATTTAGACGTTCACATTTCGGATTTAGAAAACGTTGGTAGTAAGATATATTCAATGCGTGCTCCACAAGACATAAAGTCAGACAGTGTTCCGAGCTTAAGTGGTGATGACAGATCTGAACTGGATGAACTTGCCCAAGAAATAATGGTTACGCGAGAAGAATTGTCAAAGCAGAGGGACCTCGCTGAGCGCCAAATTGAAGAGGTTAAGGTCATGAAAAGGTCTTTTGCGGAACTAGAAATTCTCTCTCAGCAAAAATCAGTGGAGTTGCTCTCTTTGAAAGGAGAATCTTCGCTGGATCCAAGCGTATACTACGATTTGGACAAGAATCTAAATTTAGACACGGAGCACGACTTGTCAGCAAGCTATGGCACTGGAAATCTCGATTTGCGTCGCGATAAACCCAAAATGGTGATCCCTGGTGTCTATCAATCATCATCCAATGGTGGGATACCAAGAGATCTTTCATCCCCTGGTGCTTCAAGTTCACGTAAATCTGAAGCGAGACAAAAATTTTTAGTTGATGGGTTTGATGGCATGGATGATCCTGGAGTGTTTGTCTGAGGAATTAGTGAGGTACGTAGGTCTTTCCAGTTTAACTGTTGAAATGATTGCAGATATTGAAGTAAAAAAAAAAAAACTTAAATTTTCTCCGTGTTGCTCTGAAGAGACGGAAATTTCTAAAAAGGATGAAGCATCAGTAAATAAAATCGTTTTTGACAGTAGACTCTATTTTCACTTTGATTCTTTTGTTTATTTCACTTCAAACTTAAGAATAAGTCCACTAAAGATAAGCTTTGCCTCGGGGAGTTTGGGTAATTAAATTACTCGATCCGTTTTCTTTTGATTTTATAAACTTTATCAGTAAATGCATGAATGGTTTCCCAAAGCGGATAACTTTGTTTTAGGAAGACAAAAAGGTGGGATACACTGGTACTGTTTTGTCGTAAGCAACAATAGAAACTAGGGCGGATGGGGTATATTTTGTTGCTCAATTTTATCCTTTGTTTAAATTTTGTTTCCTTTGTTTTGCTGAGGCTGAAGTTGAGGAAAACCATAAATTTAATTTAGGATAAAATTTAACTCAACGTATTTATTCATAAAAAATTGTAGGTTAAACTTGTAGAACATCTCCCAATATCACACCTTTTAGTTTCCCTTCTGCACAGTAATGCATTATTGTCCGGTCTATCTATGGGATAAGATACCCCTGTACAATGAGAACCAAAGGTTGGTCCCTTTTGCTCTTCAGTCATAAATTTAACTCTCTACAAGGTGGGTATCCTTCTATAATACAGGCAGTTAGTGTGAGAGAGTTAACTGTAGTAAATACAAGTTTAGTTAGTGGCATAGCCAGCCATAGACCTGTAGACCCACGCCTACAAATTTTTGGTAAAAATTATGGGGTGTTGGGGTGAGCTAAAAAAAGGGCAGTGTGTACTAGTCCTGAAGGCAATTTTCAGGATAAATGAAAGTCAGACAGGCCCACAAGTAGTCGAAAAGCTGGCTACACAGCATGCAAAGAAAGTAGTGTCCCCGATAGCCTGGGGCTAGTGGATTTTGCTATTGGGCTGGTGAATTCTGTTCTTAACTTGCCTGTTGGGCAAGTGAAGTATTTTGAGGAATTCAAATTACAGAAGAACTGTGAAATCAATTCTGCTCATCAAAAAGTTTTTGGGACTAGTTGAAATGACGTTTGGGCTAGTATATGCTAGTCTCAGCTTGCCCAAATGGCAAGCTGTAAAAATGACTTTCTTTGCACCCTGCTACGCCCCTGTTAGTCCTATAGTTGGTTTCTCTACCCTTCAGGCATTGAATTTAACTCTCCACAAGGTGGACACTTTTCTTTAATACAGGCACTTAATACAAGTTAAGTCATGATCAGTTTATTTCTTATAACAGATGTTAATGTAAGTCACATGGATTATTTGGTTACTGTTACAGATCAAAGACAGGATTCTCTCATTGATACACTGTATGTTCAACAAGTTTTGGACTTCTGATGAGAGGCACACAAAATCATGCAAGTTAATATTTTTTAACACAATTTTGGTATGTGTCGTTGTTTACTTTAATGTTTACACAATCAGGCAACAGTTGTTTGAACATTGGATAGTGCTATTCACCAGATAAATTACTATGCAGCATCTAAGTATAAGCGAAACTGTTTCTGTTATCCACGTTTTGACCAAAGACCAGCAGGAGGTCATTTTTAAATGCAGTGGAACCCTGCCTTACGGCCACCATGGTAATATGGTCATTTCTTAGTGCGACCGTTTTTTTTTTTTCAGCCCAGCTAAATGGCCATACATTTCCTTACAAAAAGCCCCGTGAATGCGGTCACCCGTTAAAATCCCAAAAACTAGCATCTCTTATAATTTCACCCTGTTAATACAATTTAGGAAATTAAAAAGCCTGTGACATGTCAATTTTATTGACCCAGTAATCTGAACTTATTCTTGTACTGTTTTTAGACTACAGTACACTTGAAATGCACTTGTGGCGATATAAAATCAAATTTTAAAAGAGTTCCATGTACTGAAGGAAACTTTATGAGATTATTCAATTACTGTACGCAATGTCTACATTCCGGTTGTTTATTAATGAGAACAGTACGGTGAATGTTATGTACGGTGTATTTGTCATTACGGAGCTCAAGTCATTAAATTTGAGCCTGCCCTGGTAATATGGCCACCCCGTTACTACGGGCCTATTAGTGACCATATTCACAGGGTTCCACTGTACCATACCATTTGTGAAATACTTCGTTTACTAAGGGTTGATGGCTGTAATCTTGATGATTGTTACTTGGTAAAACATTGATTATTCATGAAGCGTTTTCTTGCAAATGCAGGTTGTTGCACTTGGTGATCAGAAGCTAACTTGTCATCACCACCCTGATCACCCTTAACACCAGCACACCCTGTTTTATCTGTCACCCTCTTACAAATAGATTCCTTGTGATCCAGCATCACTGTGTTTCAGAAGGCCAAAAGGCCCTGGTGGCACCTATCTGCTCTCAAGGTTATGGGGATGAATGATTGTTGGTTCTTTAGGAGCTCATCATCCCTTTCACCTATTTTGTCAGGATTGTAAATTTTGAGTGCCCTAATCTCCCATGACACCTGATGATTCTTATTATTGTAAAAATATCTGCAGGTAGCTAGAAAGTCAGCCTCAGAAGCAAAGTAATGCATTACATTTTTCTCGTTTCCTTTCTAAAAGTGAAATCTATTTTCTCTTTTAGGGGAAAAGTACCATTGGAGAGGCCCAATAGTACTTGAGGGAAGAAAACTGCGAAAGAGTTAGATTGTCTAATCATTAAAGCTGACCTTTCAAAGGAGATTTTTGGCTTTTATAAGTGCATCGTGTAGTGAATAATATTATTACTACTGCATGATTTGGTTAATTTACTAATGTACTCTGCTGTTATTGAAGCAATTTTATCTCCTCAAGAATCCTGGCAGTTATACAGTGTCTTCTTGTCTTCATGATTGTTCATGACATAGTTGCCAAATACGGTAAACACCAGCATATAAAAACAAGTAGTGGATTAGAAGAACCTCAGGCTGAAATTTGGCCAATAGAGCATATAATAATATTATATTAGAACCAAATCAGGCTGATAAATAAAACATGTTCGTACAAGAAAAAGAAAGAGAAAGCTAGAATAAGAAAACAACTCATATGTTTAGTTATATTTGCAATTTCAAACAGTTTTCATCTATTTTTAATTTGAAATTTATTTTGAGAACATTTTCAGGCTGATTTCTCACTAAGGACCCAGTAAATAAGAACGTGAAAATTCTGAACCCCGAAATCATAGGGTCTTATAATCGATGCGGGTGCTTACTATATGATGTGTGTGTACATGTTGTATGAAAGCCAAATTTCTTCTTATTGAATACCTGAATCTGTAACTTTTTCAAGGTAAACATTCAATTAAAATGTCCCACTTTTGCATAATTTCTAAACAACTCGCATTTTTTAAATTTTATCTTATTTTAATTTTGATACAACATTTGCCTGCTTAATCTTGGCAAGAAATAGATATTATAATAGTCCCAGAACTGTATCTGTGAAAGTTTAACTTTGCCTGTGGCTGCCTAACCAACCTTACATCCTATAAAGCACTTACAGCACATAACAAACAGTGACAAAAAGTGCATGTGCTGATTAGAAATCGCTACACAATGTAACTGTCTTGAAGAACGATTTTGTTTTGCAAGCACGTTTTTGTACAGACTATTCATTCCAGTAAGCTCATGTCCTCTCAGAGGACTATTTGTATTTTTTCTCGCAAAGTGCACATGCATCCTCAAAATTTCTCTTTTCACGCTAAAACACTAGCACCTGCTACCTAGGTGTACATGTGCATCTAGATGACCACCATTACAGGTGATGCAGTATCTTTTAGATAGTAGTGAGAACTATTAATGTTATTGTCACCTAGATGACCCATGTAAATGCTAATTAAAAGTTGTCAGTGTTAGTGAATTCGTTTTTTTAGAACTTGTCCCTTTTAGGCTTGAGTGACATTTCGGCTTGATAGCTTCAATCCTTTGTGCAGGTTTTACTATTTTTCTATTTATTGAGTGGCAAATGAACATTAATATCAGGTTGTGTTTTCAACCAAAAAGTTATTTGAAGATTGTTGAAAGAAGAGAGTGATATGTAACGTTAAATTATTGAAATTAAGTTTAATTTATGGTATTGAATAACAATATTTGAGATGTTTATTAAGAAAAAAATCCGAGCCTGGAGCATGCAAAAAGATAACAAATGTTATTTATGTTTTGAAGTAATTTATAATAAGTTATTGTTACTCATAATAAGATGTATGCTTGTTTAAATAATAAAAGTTTAAAAGCCAATATTGTGTAAGCTGAGTTTAACTCTGTAGAGTGAGGAGAGGTGGCTGTATTTGCTGATTAAAATAAAACTAGACCTGCGTTGAATCCAGTTTTTGGAGGCCCTTGTTGTTCTAATTTGAAGAATTACGAAAAGTAGTTCTTCTTGACAGAGAAGACAAATTCCCTATACCCCGTGAGCAAGCTCTTGGCAGGGAGTGGGAGTGGGAGGGGGCGGGGGCAGTGTTTTTGGAAGGAAACAGAGTGTTCTCTCCTCCTCACTTAGATCCATTTGAGGTAGGACGGTTTTGGTCCCCTGAATCGTCCTCTTCCTGAATTTTAATTGCTCAGCTTTGTATTTATTGGTGTTATTTGGGAGAGGGGAACAGCATAGCAACGGCTGTAAGTTCTCGGCATTTTTTAAGAAAATTTCTTCTCTACATTTATTGAAAGTCTAATAGAAGTCGAAAAATATCCAAAGTTCAAGAATTTCACTCGACTCACTTTCTAGCCGGTAGCCAAGACTTTACTCCAGAAAATATTCCCAGCTTCCAAAACTACAGTTTTCCATTTATTAGGTGAACAAAGAATTGGTGATTGTGGGTTGCAAAGTAATTTTTTGCGGCATTATTTTTTATTGACCCCTCCAGGAGCACAACAATGACTTCACGCTTTGTTTGTTGTGTGTGAAATTTGCACTTTGTAGCAAAGCTGGCTTCTGATTGGTCGTGTAAATATGAAAGGCATTGACATTCTGACTTCCCATGTGCTTTAGCAGTCATTGCCTAGAAACCGTTTCGACGCCAAATGCCACAACATTTGGGAGTTCAGACATTTTCGATTTGAATGCCAAATGTGATTCTTCCAAGCCGGGAACATGGTTGGAAACTTTGGTAATGTTTTTGTTTCCGTTCACGCGCTGATTTATAAACAATGAGTTCGATTTGATGTAAAGTGAAATTCCATCACTGACGTGCGGAGAGCTACCATTGAGTTGCCGAACACTTAACGGGAGGTTGAACTTCTGCACTCTCCATTGAATTGCCACGAAGCAATCTGCAGTGAAGATTAGTCGATTCATTGGAAATCTACTGAGAGCTTTAAACAAGTGGTGAAAACGGTACAAGAAAGACAAAGAGTATTAAAAGTCGCTCGTTGTTGAGTTTTAACATTCCATAGCGACGACTTTTTGGCGCAATTGCGGGTAATCATATCGCCTACGGGTTACAAATTGTCGAATGGTAAAAGCTTTAGTTATTTACAGCACAAACACGCGAAATCATCTAATGTGGAAGCGATCAAATTGTCCTAACTTCGCTGGGATTTTGTAAGCCGGGCGATTGCAAACTGGATACAAAACGTGCGAGTACAAATACAGCGGTTAATTAATGTTATTTTATGCGGGGATTCCGCCGTTGTTAACAATCGTCTTTAATTATTAAATTTGTTTACTCGGGAGATCCTTGGTTTATTTAACGACTTGAGTACTTTAACCGTTCAGTTGCCAAGACACCAAAGAGTTAACCACAAAAGATGACTTCAAGAAGTTCTCCAATACTTATACCTCGCTACATGGAGAAAGACTACCTCCAAAGTCTCAATGATCGATTCGCTTCTTATGTTTCTCGCGTGCGGCAAATGCGAGAACAGAGCGGTCGAATGGAGACAGCAAATCTCATTAACACGACCAAGATTCTAGAAGACGAGATCATGGCTTTAAAAGCCATGTACGAGAGGCAACTTGAAGAGTTGAGGAACAAACTTGAAGAAATGGCACGCGAAAGAACCCAGCATCAACTGGCTGCGGCTAAGAATTCTGCTTCTGTGGCTGAGCTGCAGGACAAGTGAGTTAACATAATTATTAACTTTTTAAGAATGATTTTTCTCCCTATTTCTCTTTTGTTTTTGTCCTTATGTAAAAACTTAAGAGAAGGAACAGAGAATTTATAATAAATAACTTTAATAAAGCAATAGATTTTTATTCTGATGTGTCACCAAATTCCCACTACCAGTAAGCATAGGGTATCAATGATTAACGTTCCCAAGTTGACCCAAAAGTTATTTATAGGACAGCTAATTCCTGCCTCAATTAATTTCCAAGAAACACTGTAAAAGTACTGGTATTAAGACTTGCTAACAAGCAGTACCTACAATGTACTGTTCTTGCACCTCCACCTTCACCACTTCCTGTGTCAGAATCAGATTACAGGATTGAAGAGTTATTCTTGACTTTTTATGGCCTAAATTATAATTGTTTTGAACTCCATCAGACTGGCTGAGGAGACAAGTGTGCGTAAAAAGACAGAGAATGCTCTGGCAGATGCCCAACGAGTTATTGCAGACAAGGAAGCTCTCCTGCAAGATGCCAGAGTCACAGCCACCCAACACCAAAATGCCCACATGGACACCAAGCGAGACAGAGATGGACTCCAGGCTGCTCTGACCCAAACTCAGCAAGCTTTAGATGTGGAAGTGGCAGCAAAAGCTGATCTGCAGACACTGGCTAATCAGCTTAAAGAGAAGCTTGCCTTTCAGCAACAGCTTCATGAAAAGGTGCATTGTATAAACTGTGCAGAATATGTTAGATTAGTGCATGGTTTCACCCACAACTGAATAGTTTATGCATGTTTCTTTGGGTGAGCTAGTTGGTAGACAAAGGAATTGTGACCTTAAACCTGGTGACAATAATTATACTGTAAAAATTCCAAAAGTAAGCCCCGGGGCTTATATTTTTCAAAGGCCCTTTTTGAGGGGCTTATCTAGGGCTAGCCTTACAGTTGGAAGTAAATTTACCGTTTTTGCTTTGTTTTTATATAGTACTTTGTATTTAAGGGCAATTTTCCACGTACGAGCCCCCGGCAGGCTTATATTTGGAGGGGCGATTTAAAGGAGGGTTTTTTGCATTACCAGTTTGAAGGGCTTATATTTGGAGGGGCTTATACATGGAGGTGCTAATTTTCGGAATTTTATGATAATTACAGCAATTTCTATAGCCTGCGTCACAGGCGTAATTTAACCTCAGTTAGTCAGGGTTCTCAATAGATTTTTAAGTAGGAGGTGATCACTGATAAAGTAGGAGGCTCTTCAGCAAAGCCAGAGATGTCAAAACAAAGCAAAGAAAAGCGACTTCAACACAAAGTAAGCGGCTATAAATCCCAAAGTAAGCGGCGATCAATCGCCGGGTGCCGCCTGCTATTGAGAACCCTGGTTAGTAACGTCTGCGAAGCAGCGCTGATATCCTTGTTCTGGGCCTCCAACAGACTCAACAAATTACTGGAGGAGTGTTTCCAGTTCACTTTAATCTTGATTGGCAAATTCTCAACAGCATTTTAAACAGGCCAATCATGGCTTGTACTCAAATCCTGTTACTCAGGTGGGGGCTCAGAACAAGGATTTGGCGCTGTTTCGCAGACGGGCTTAACCAAAGTTTAGTTTTGACTGCAGTGCAGGCTACAATTGCTCCACTGGAGGCATCTGGGGACTTGCCTGGGAATATTTTTGATTCAGGGAGCCCTGAAAAGGGAATTTCAGTGCACTATGCACAACCAGGGAAATAATTTTTGGGCCATTAGGATGAAGTGCTGTGGAATAAATACAACAAATTTGTTATCCTCCATTAATAAATAAATAAATAAGTAATTAAAAAGCCTCATTTTCTCTGAGTGGCTGGTACTTCCATTAAGGCTAGACAGCAATTTTAGCCAGTCGCCAGAGCTGCTGGAGAACCCAGGGATACATTACCTCATAATTTGTTCTTAGGTCATGGCCAGCTGCTAAAAAATACACTGTCTGAGTCCCATTGTTTGGGAGTCAGATTTAATTCTAAACTTA